AATATTTGTTAAATCGTGGCTTTTATCTGAGCTAAAAAAAAAAACATTACTATGTCATCTCTCTCTCTCTCTCTCTCTCTCTCTCTCTCTCTCTGCTTAGTTTAGCTTAGCTTCATTTAGCTTACCATTGCTTACATGACCTTAGCTTAGCATGGTGAAAAAAACTCGAACACAATGAACACAATAATGTAACACAGTGGCCTGCTTTTCATAAGTTTTACAAAATTTTTATATGTATGGATGAAATATTTTATAGACTATAAATGACAGCCCTGGGAATTAAATTAAATGGCAGATGCTAACATGCTAGGTATCATTATTTTCTGTTTAATATATCTGTTTAATGGGTGTTCTATTCATAATGAAAGTTGGATTCATACAACAGCTTATACTCAATGACCAATTCATTAGGTACGTTTTGACGGTTTATGTTTCTTCTTAATAATACAGAAAGCACAATAATAAACACAGTGCTAAATTATAAACACTGACAACTTGTATGAAAAAAGTGCATCATTATATTTCCAAAGGCATTTTTTTAAAATCATTCAAAGTTGTGTCCAGTGAGTGTGTCATGCATAATAACATATTAGTAACATTTTCTTAAAAGGTGTTTCTTTCATTTTATACAGTTTCAACTGGATGTTTGTTTTTTTCTCAAGCCTAACATGTCCACTCTGTCATAGAATATTATCAAGGGACATTAAAAAAAAAAAAAAAAAACATTGCAAAATTCACAATATATTTCACAGTCAGTTTAATAACAGAATCATATTGCAAACTCAGGCTCCACTATATGTTCTCCTAAATGCTAACATTAGACCAAAATCTTCAGTGTCATTATCCACCCTGTTTGTGTGTGTATAGTGTCTACTTGCAGGTAATTTAGCCTTAAAAATTGTGGGACCATGATGAATATGTATTTATAAAGCACATTGTGCAATGAATGTCAAGTTTAATGGAAAAATCTCTTCTTTTTTTTTTTTTTGTGGTGTAATTTGGAACTCTCAAAGGCACTTTATTGTGATCTAGATTTAACTATGTAATCAGGTCTTACCATGGATATAAGTGAGGACTCATAATGTGGTGACACAGGTGTCTGTACAGAGTTGCGGGGCCACATATTGGTTCCTGTGTGCAAAGCAAAGAGAGATTAAAAATACACAAACACAGACGAGTAAAAATGGCACACAAAATAATCACTGTCCCACTGGGAGTAGCAGATTTTAGCCGCTCGGTAGGTTACCTGCGGGTTCGCTGGCGTTTGGCAAAGGCGACGGGGACCTCACAGGAGTGGACGAGCTGGAAGGGAAGCTGCTGCTGGTGCGATCGGGGGAATAAATCTGGCAGCAGACGTGTAGGGAGGAAAAAGAGAAAGGAGGAGGAGAAGAAGTGGGATGAAGGCATGGATCATTTTAAAGGCACTTGTCATTTCTCCACCGGCTGCCGTTAGGGCAGCCCCATAACCCAAACTAACTCATCAATTGTGTTCATATTACTAGTCAGCAGCTAATAAAAAGTGTGAGAGTAGTAGCCCTTTGCTGATGTCCACTCGCCTGCGACTGCCAGGAAAGACCTATTTCCTGTTTGCATTGCACCCCTGGGGCCCTCGCTTTAATTTTATGTCTTGTTTTGAATGTTTGATTGTAACAGAGAACAAATGAATTGATGCAACGGGACTGTGGTGATGCATACTTACAGACGCCAGCGCTTTGCCCAATGTATCGCCAGTCTGTGAGCCTCCTGGCACATTTGTGTGGTTTCCTGAGACTGACAGAAATCAGAATGTGTTTAAATGGTGTGTGTGGCTAAATGACCACAACCACAATCTAATAAGAGCTGATCAAAGAGCGGTATGAAAAAGTCCTTTTGAAAATGACTGTTTGTTATTTAGCGGGATTATGAAAAACTACATACAAACTTTGTGGAAGGGTGAGAACTTAAAATACAATATTTTGATGCAAGGAATTCTTTTTTGACATTTTAACTTCAAATTAAAACTGAACCCTGCTACAGATTGCAACACCCGTCCTTATAATCCTTATGTTTTACGTCTTGCTACCTAATGTGGTGAGAGTAATGAACTAATCTAAAACATGACACACGTTCCAAATGGTGAAAATAAAGTTCAAAGGCAAAAGCCGACAAGTGCCATTTGAACAAAAAAGAACCTGCCTGCAAGCTTTTGCACTAATTTGACGCCAAGAATTAAATGTCAGTTTTAAAACGGTTAGCAAGCCCTGATTTTTTTTACTAACTTTGAATTCCCGGAATAAAAATTATTAGCTTCAACCTGGAACCAGACATTATAACTTGCTTTGTGTTTAAACTCTTCTAGTCTTCCTTTTATTTTTTGTGCAACCTTGGAGGAGGACCTTGAGCGCTAGTTGCTCTCTTGACTATCCTTCCATTGCCTCACCTGTGGAATTGTCTGTTGTGTTGATCGACGGGGCATGTGATGATGCATTGTTGTGGTGAAACGTGGACATGGGAGGAAGACCTCTGTTCATGTCTGTTGCAATCACCGAGTGTGGAGAGTAGTCCTAAACATGAAAAAAAAACACAACACATACACAGTTGAAGTGCCGGGTTGTAAAAGTCAATATGTGATCCATGATGTAAATCTCACCAGGTGGCCGTGCGGCTGCAGACTGCTGTAGTTCCCCGCCTGCGTTTGGTGGCTGCTGGTTACTCCCAGTGCACCTTCATAGCCATGCTGGTTCAGTCCGTTTACTGCACTCCAGATGTCGGGAAAATTGCTTGTGCCCTCTGAAATGGATGACAATATGTTGCATGTTGCACTGGAGCAGACATAAAACTCGAGAGCACCCTGCCTGGATGTCATGTTAATGAAGCGTTGTTTATTACATTCACAGACTCTTTGTTTTCAAAACGTAATTATCTTTGTAATCAACAGAAAATGTTGTGTTTTCGATATATCATATGTTAGGGCTGGGCAATTAATTCCAGTTTAATTGTGATTTGGAATTCACTGCTTTACTACGTTAATGCTATTTAGCGTTGGCATTGAGCTAACAGACCAAAAGCTTAAGCTCGTGTTGTTATTTTAAATAAACAAGTTGTAGTTCTCTTAGTTTGATGCTTTGTTTAACAATAAACATCAACTGGGAGTTGCATGAAACAGACCGAGGCCTCTTTTTTGAAAAATTGTTCACTAATTGTGAAAGCGCAACATAAATAAAGATTTTGTGTTGTATATTGTATTGTATTATTGCATCTGACAAACTGCTGCTTGTTGGCAAGTGAGATGAGTCATTGCCACCATGAAGCGCTTGTGTCTCAAGTCAAAGCAAATAATAATATATAGATATAGATCTTATCACTGCTTGGAATAGATTTACAGTCGTCATCAGTTTGCTTACCCAAAAAAGTGCTGGCAAACACATTGCTGGAGGCCTTGCTAGACGGATGTAAGGATGAGTTCTGATTGAAGTCGTCACTACCCGGGGACTGCCCATAAGTCTAAAAAAAAAGGACAGCGTGCTCAAGTTGGGAAATGTAAACCTGGTCGCACAAACTGCCACATGGCTGCGTGCATACTCGGATCGGAAGCAACGGTCTATTCAAAACAAAGCAGAGAGCTGACGCACACTTAGAGCAGTTGCGATAATCCATAAGCTGCAGATCCGTGCACCTCCTCATCCGGATTTAGGAACCATTCAGCATGAGAAATCCCTGCCCTAATAGTGATCGGTTCTACCGGATTCTGAGTGCTGAGATACAATTCCCTTCTTCATGAAACCGAGTTACAGGCCTCAACGAGAAAACCACAAGAACTGGTCTGACCTTGTTGAACCTTTTTTCATCCAAGGAGAAATTAATTGCAAAGTAGAATTCATCTAAGCTTCCACTTGTGTTGCGTTTTTACTCTGCTGCAGGACTACACACATGTGCGCACACATAACACACACACACTTCCCCACTCACACAACACACATCGAGAGGTCTGGGCTGCACCTGCACCTCCCTCCAGTGCTTTGATGTGGCCCAGGAAATGAAAATAAAACGCGCTGCGCAGCATCAATGGGGTGTCAGTTACCCGGACGACAAGTCCTGTAAAGCAGGCTATTAAAGACTCTCCTGAGCACGCTTGGGCAACAACACAGATATACACGCGCGCACGTATATACACACAGAGCCGTGACCCTGGTTGGCATGAGTCCCATGGTGATTGCGGGCCAGGCCAAACAGAGGAGCCCCTGCCGACACTGGGCCCGTCTGAGCCGCCATGGGCAGCATATGGCGAAGGATAAAGCCAATTGTCCTCCTTACCATCAGCATAGTAGGCGACCCGTTAATAATGGTCACACCCCCGCCTCAGCACGCCTTCGCTGGCCCCCGCTGGAGAGGGGGGCCGTCACCATGGTAGCCTCTTTTAGCGTAGCATTGATTTAGAAACCATCAATCATGGCAATCACAAACGATAAGGGACTCTTTTTTTTTTTCTTTTTCTGCAGCAATTAAAGGCCTGAAGTAGGAAAGGATTAGTATGAAAGTATGTTTGATTGTTGTCAACATATAGTTGCAAAAGTGTATTTCATCTTAGTTCGTAGTAAGGTAGGGAACCATATTGTTAGCCTAACAGCATGCCTGCTTAAGTAACTTTAAACTTATTGTAGCAATAGTAATAAAAAAAACACGAATGTGCTTTGCTGAAAATTTTGTTTTTTCCTTCAAAAAAAAAAAAAAAAAACACTAATGTGCTTTGCTGAAAATTGTGTTTTTTCTTTGTTTGTGTAGATTCTCAGTCATCTAGGTCGTGGTAATGCACAAAGGTTGAATTGAGGCAACTTTATGCTTGATGCTCGGTGAATTAGTTTCATCAGTTAAAAAATAAATTGACAATGACCGTATGTTAATAGGCTAACAATAATTGGTAACTTAAATGAACGCTACACACCTTGCTCTAAGACAGTGAAACCAAACTACATCTTTCGTTATATAGCACTTTCACAACAGCTGCCGCTGCTTTGCAGAACATTTAACATAAAATAACAATAATACAACAGAACACATAAAAAAGTGGTGACAATTACACCTATGAGTAGCAATATTTGGTCATTCATAATTATAGCAATAAACATAACAGTACAAAATAAGGATAATCTCAAATTTTCAAATGTCTTCAATTAGAAACGTTTTTTTAAAAATTGGTATATTTCAGGTTACACTTTTCATTTCCAACTCTTTCCCATCAACAATAAGTGCCCCATACTGGGTTGAACAAAATGGAAACTAGTAAACAACCAAGTACTGTACTACTTTTGCTATGGTATCACATTATCATGTTAGATGAGAGTAATATCAACTTGCACTTGAGGGGGGGCTGCGCTGCGCTCCTCATGCAGCCACATGCAACCAATTTTCTGCCTCTGTGATCCATGATGTCTGGATATGGTTAGTCTCAGCGAGATCAAAGCTGCCTTTGATAATGGCTGAAGCAATGGAGGGACGGTCTAAATCAAATAGAAATAGCGAGAAATCTGCTTCATGTCAAGATGCTTGCTCTGCTTGCCAGGCTGCTGCCTTAGCTAACAGGAAGCAGGAGCGCTGCCAGTGTGCATTTCAAACACAAGTTGGTCAACATGCAAAAAAAAAAAAAAAACGCCACAAGTGCCGCTGTGATATGGGACTGGCAAACGTGTCACAGTTTACTTTCAGTAGTGGACATTGTGCGCTTGAAGTTGAGAAGTAAAAAAATTATATATATATATATATA